TCTCTAACATCCATCCAAAGATTCGCATTTATAGTAAGATGGTCTACATTAATTAATCGAAGAATATTAATATTTATAATCTTAACTACTGCTAGTTTAATTAGCTGTCATTCACTAAAGCGGCATCTTTAAACGATAATTAAAAAACAACAAGATTGGGCCATTAAATTTTGATGCCAATGAAATATACTAGGAAACCATAAAATTATTTATGCGGATTTTGAACACAAATCTTACATCGTATGAAGATTTTATGAATGATTATATTTAAAACGATTGCTGAAGAAAAAACAACTCAAATACTATTTTAAGACAAGATAGCGTAATATGCTAGACTTCCATTGATATATTTTACAAAACAATGAATTATTGGTATTTTTAATAAATAGCCCCTTAAACCAGCAAAAATTAACAAGGACTAAATAACTTCATGTTATAAACTAACTGTTGCCCGCGACGCCTAACGCGTGGAATTAAAAAAACACAACACAAGTAGTAGCCTATGTGTTCTTATAGATTATGTTCGACATCTATGCCAAATTTTATCGAGATCCGATCAGCTGTTCTCCATCGAAACATTCGCATTTATAATATTAGTAAGATTGACGGAATAATCTAGCCGGTATTTTGATATAAATTCCTTAAATTAACGATTTTTCGTACAGGCGTGCATGACCGGGATTTCACATAGGAAGCGTTTTCAGGATTGTTCTATTTGTACATAATTAAAAAAGCATAAAAAACATGTAATTTAACCTGTGTGGGACACGTTTTACTTACGGGGACTGGTTCCGCGATGTTTTGTGAGAGATTTAGGTCAAGGATTATAACGCTGAGGTCCGACTTGCATTATCCTGGTCGCCCCACGCGGAACAAGCGCGTCCCCAAGGTGCCCTTTGACCCTTTTTTTTACTTTCAAAACATTGTATGTAACTCGTTTTGTAAAGATATCATTACGGCCACGTAAAACTTGATATAAGTCCAGTATGAATACTCCTTAGTTTTTTTTTGTCATTCTTTCATATAAAAAACATGCCAATTATAATCTATCTATCAGTTAAAGACTAGCAACGTATTACAACGTGTACTACAAAATTCTACGATTGTTCAGTTTTAGGTTATTTGGCAATTATCACCTAAACTACCACTCTCAACGGTCAATAAGGGAGCCTCTCACAATTTGTCGTACGACAATTATATAACTCGCAGGGAGACGGTAAGCGACAAAAATTATTATATTTTAGAGAACCTTACTTTTAGTTTAGGTCATAGTATGTAGGATAACCAATTAAATTGTATGTTAAAGTTAAAAAAAAATAACGAAATGTATAAAAAAAATGACCCGATAAAATTTTACGTAGAAGCGCTAGTTAGGTGGCATGTTGCACGGGCACGCATCGAGGCGCCGTGGCCTTGGTTACGTAAGCGTCGCGCCTCGAAGGTCCTCCGAGAGGCTGTCCTTGGCCCTCCTCTCCCTCCACCCCTCCACTCCCGCTGCCTCCCCCGACATCCTCTCCCGCGCCTCACTCTCGCCCCCGCCCCGCCGGGAACGAGCCTAGACGCAGCGCTTCGGAAATGAGAACATTTCGGGAAACATTATTAGAAAATCACTGTAGGCGGTCTATTATGGTTGTTCACATAGATGTTATTACTTAAATGCTCGTGTAACAAAATTAATATGTTGTATTGACAAAATGTAAAATATTTAAAAAAAACATGAAAATTAAAATTTTTGTCAAAATTTTGTCAAGTCTGATATTTGCTGCGCCTATTCCAATAAGCACTTCCTCAAGATGGAAAACCTCAAAGTCTCATGATATTCCATTAATTTCTGATTGCGCCTTCTATTCAACGACACGAGACGCGCGACTTACCCTAAGCAAAAATAGACTCTAACTGTTTAAAACAAAACACATCATAGGAAAATACAAAGAATGGTCTACATCAACTGGCATTTTCTATCACAAACTTGCGATTGCCCCCGACTTCGTCACCGCAGGATAAAAGTAGCCTATAATATGTCCGCGTAACCTTCCACCAAAGTACCATCAAAATCTTTCCAATCGTTCCAGTTAGCCGGAACAAACGCGGCCTTGCGGACAGACATAAAGCCACACACAAATATTTTTAAAATTGATTTTTTGTTATCACCAACGCAAATACTATAATATGATTTTTTTTACTATACATACAGACAATCTAATTTTGATATATGTATTGCTATAGTTTTACGTATCAAATAAATCTTAGTAACAGTAGAATAAGTTTAAAAGGATTACGTTTTGACATGTAGGAAGTGTTAACCCACATTACCGCGGCTAGATAACTAATAGATATGGCCGATAATGCACTGATACACAGCACAATCTATCACGGAAAATATTGCCTATTACAAATGTTACGAGAAAATTATTAATTTTACTATATCATTCAATTATATAACAAATTACTGATACTGTTTTATTAATAATTTTCCATAAAATAAAGCAAATTAAATTAAGAACGCCTACGACGTCAAAATATATTGTCATGACGTCATCGCTATATTTTTTTTAATTTATTAAAAATTAATTTAATTTTCATGCTGCCAGTCGTAAAAAATTAAACCAAAACTTTAAGGTTATGAAATAAGTGACATAAGGCTAGGGAGATGAATTCAATTTATTTGTATATATTTTTAAATTGGCAAACATACTTTGATTATACCCAAAAACCCTCTTGTTAGTCTTTTAAATGGCTTAAAGATGATATAATTTTTTATCCAATGAATGCTTTTCTTCTGTTTTCTTAACATGACATCATTATAATTGTACTGTGGGTTTTTCTAAACATATTGTAGCACCAGCTGCCCTCCGCGACTCCGTTCGCGCGGAATAAAAAATACTTAATAAAAGCCTATGTGTTATTCCAGACTATGTTCTATATGTGTGCCAAATTTCAACAAAATCTGTTGAGTCGTTCCGGAGATACCTTCAAACAAACATCCATCCATTCATCTAAACATTTGCATTTATAATATTAGTAAGATTTCGACCATCGCTTTGCTTTTTACGCAAATGTTATGAAAATGGATGAAAAAACTGGTGAAGAAATTCGTCGTGTGCGTACAATTTTAAAGCTTCTAATTTCGTTTAGAAAATGTATATCTACATCGTTTTAGCTTCATGCATTCGTTGATAACAGTTTTATTATTTTTTCTATGTTCGTCTAATGTCGTTATCTTTGCGGTAGGCCGGCTAGCTATAAGGTTATCTGTGTTGCAAAGACACATTCCGTGTACCAACATGATAACTTAAAAAAAACGTGATTGATTCCAAATTTGAAATTCGTCTATGAGGAATCTATGGAATATTTTATCGATTCAATAAATTTTTCCTTGAAACATAAAGATATTTTTATAATCTTAAAATATTTCTTTTCTTCGTATAAGAAAATCTTCATTCACTTGCAAACTATTTTATCTTGAGCGAATCGGTAGGAAAATTTTTAATTCAGTAAATTATACCTTCGACCTTCATACTTACGTCAAATGCTGATTCTATGGAACAACTTACACTATGACTTCTAAATCGAGAACAGAAAAATCGATTGGCAACGGCACGGAATATTCGGATACATAAATTGTTAATTGGAAAATTAAAATCAAATTTCAGTATGATTGGTTTAGCTGTATTAGACATATCTAATATCAAACGTCATAATATTAATAATATTACTGTAAAAAAATTCCCCAGTGCTAAAGACTAGTTTACCAACATGTAGATTCGTTATTGAATGAAAATAAATAGAAATCGAGTAGGCAAATGATTGTTACTGCACAAGCGAACAATCGATTTAATAAATCGTTTTTAAAATGTATCTTTTTGCTGTACAACGGCAGTGTATACGAAAACGATCAGCCTTGACCTTCGCAGTAACCCTGAACATCATCGAGTGTACTAGCAGCCGTTGAAAAATGCTATTTAAATTATGCAGGAGGTGAAACGAACAAAATAAACTATTTGAAAAATAGCTCACTGAAAATAACTTCTGTGTATATATCAAGACAAATTTTATTCCTATTTCTATTTGAAGTGTTCAAAATTAAGTTTCTTTATTAAATTAGCTATTTCATTTACAGTTTAATGCGATAATTGTAATAACTAATAATCATGGTCTGATGTTATAATGAATTTTCGATGTTAAATTTGAAATTTCCAACGGTCGACATAGATGTTAACTAGGCGTGGAATCGGTCGTCAATCGCGAACAGACGATAAGAGGCAAGTCCGCGCTGTAGGTGCTAATGGGTGACCGCGGGCCGCGGGCCGCTTGACAGTTTCTATGCAAATGTTAATGCCGCTCGGCGAGACCAGTTTTCGCCTCACGGAGCGGTTCCGAGCCTACTCTTACCCGCGGTCTATTCACCACCATAATTATTACCGATCGTACGCCGCTAAACTGGATTTCTCGACGGGCTCGTTAATGGTATGCTTTACATCACAACAGGCCGAAATAATCCGGAGGTCATTGAAATTCAGGAGCCTATTAAATTACTAGATACGCATTTATCGCAGAAACTATCCGCATATCGAATTGAACGGCGAATTTTGAGTAAATATCGCAAACCGGTTCGACGGAGAGCAAAAAAAAATGTTTAATGATGCAATAATAAATGTGCAAAAAATAGAAGATACGGTTGTCTCATTATCAAGTTCAATAGCCCCAGCGCGACAGCACGTGTATGCAAAACCTGGGAGACGCGTGCGCATGTGCAAAAATATCCTCTCGACGCGCGTCGTTAAGGCGCAATATGGTGTATCTCTCTGGACGCTTAAAATTTATCGCATGCTGCAGGGTGTCAACAGAGATTTATCAATGACTGCGTATTTCAGTTCTTTTCGATACAGATTGACTCACAAATCAGATGAGTCTCTTCCGCCTTACCTCAATTGCGGATGAAAAATTATAATCAGTTATTATTTTCACGGCAACAGTTAATAAAAAACAACAATACTTTCCTTGATTCCATGAATATCCAGTAATTCCACAGTCCGTGTGTTCGTCAATAGAGAAACATTAGAGCTCCAGTGAGCCGGTCACAAATATCATAGTTCGCACTAGGCGTCCACTGCGTAATGCGTATCACTGTCGTAACACTAGCACTGTGGTGCGGCGATGTCCGTGCTCGCTGCGTACTGCTCACTTCCGCATAGTGCAGCGCGCCACAATCCCGCGCTCGCGCTCGCGCCAGTGCACAATCCGCGTCACAATCCCGCGCCCGACCCGACCCTCAGCCGTCAGCTCGCTCTAGCCGCCGCACGCTCTCGCTCGCTAATGCGACTGCCGAAAACTCCTCGCGCCGCCCGAATGCAGAAAATTCGGACGCGACGAGTGGGGGACGCTCTACGACTATCCGAAACTTGTGCGCGTACGTGCAGCGCTTCGCTATGAAAAAATCCAAGGTTAACGCGCGCTGCCAAAAAAAGACGCACGCAAAATGAAAAAAGACGGCTCGAGCGGCGCCCCCCGGCCCCCGGCCCGCGGGCCCCGGGCGTTGCAGCCGCGCCCGCCGCCCGCCGCCGCGCGCCCTGCGCCTACTGCGTCGTAGTCGCTAGCTCGCGGGCCGGATCGTGCGCCTCGACCCTCGACTCCGCACCAACATGTACTACTACTACCGCCTCTAGCCTCTAGTACCCACTCCCATAAACGTATACGCATACTGTCTCGTTTATTAAAATTAAATTAATAAAAAATTGTAATTGAATTTACATATCAATTTAAAAAAGGAATTTTCCAAGTTCACGTGTACATTTATCAATAACTTTAATTCACAAAACTTTATGTAAAATTAATTTAATAAATGTTTATTCCTGATTCATTGAGATAACGAAGCAATTGTGTCAATATTGGTACGCTTTGCAAATATAAATTTTGTACTCTTGGACTAGAAATTGTTTGTTGAATCTACATTTCTAGGTGCCATTTAATAAAAGCTATTTGTTGAAGATATAATTTCAATTATTACTTACATTAAATTCTCACGATCGTAGCTTGTAACAATTAGGCGTTACAATGATGTTAAAAACAAGTACAATAAAACAAAACTAACCTTTAGAACACGAGGTATGAATCCAAAAATAAAACATATAAAATATGAGAAAATTTACGGAATCTATTGTAAATGTAAAACTTGGCATCTATTTCTAGTATTTATAGAAAAATTATATAATAAAAAATTGATATACGGTGATATTCACTTGAGAAAATTAAAGCAGCCATAAAAACGTGCAACGTAAAGAAAAAACATTCACACGATACTAACGTACGTGTGGACGAAAAACGTTTGAGAAAATGTAAACACCCTGTACTGCCTACGCCTTCTACGAACGAAGACTATTGAAAAATTAACGGGCATATAAACCATTACAGTTTTCGTATTTCAAATAACAAACAAACTATTTTAATATAACTGAAGTCCAAAACCGAACAATGTGAGAAAAATATTTTTAAAGTGAGTTTTCATTGCCAAATCACATTGTTATCTCCGTTAAATCAAACAGAATGAGAGGGATGATATTATTATGTTCTTGTAAAGTAGTAAGCCACAGTAAAGAAGAAAGATTTCATCGTTCGTTTGTTAAACTCAAAAACTCCTTAACTAATTTTAAACAGCAGTTGGACTTAATCGGCCCAACGATATACTTTTCCCATTGGGACAATTAAGTCCATAGAATCAAAAGAGATCTCATTTAAACATGATTTTTTAAGAAACACGATTACTTCTTCCTGTATAATTTAGAAGATACCAGCAACCTGGAACCTCAATGATCATAGACAAAAATAAATGTTTATTCATGATACTGATTCATATATCAATAAGTCATTGAGTCGTGACAACTTGACTGCAATAAAATAATTTAGAACGACAGTGTTCAACCATTGGTGCATTACAATTGGACGGCCATAACTGTTGACCTTGTGCCGCCAAACATTAGTTCCTTACCGTAGAATACGACTATCGTATTCAAATATTGTTGTCTCTATTTTTTCAAAGTGAATGTAAAGGATGTCAATATGTTTTTCGGCAATGGAAACCCACCCTTAAATAAACACTGGCCACATTAAATGTGCAGCGCTTAAAAGAACAATAACAAAATTCAATACAGACTCTGTTTCCTTATCAACTTTGGCAAGGCCACGTGAACTATGATAACGTGTCAAAATTAGAATACAGGATGTTAAAAAACTGTCAACATTTTTAATGGAAAAAAAATCATAAACCAACTCTATATTGTGACGTCATAGCTGAGAAATCGAAAATATACGGGATTTGTAAAGAATTCTTAAAACCTGAATCTCCGAGCTTAAGAAATATATTTACTCAAACATTTTTTGTTAAATGTTACGGTTTATAAAACCTTGTGCGCTTACCTCACGTGACTTGATAAGATTTAGGAGATGATGATGTTTTGTTAAAAGTCTACTGTAGCAATTATTTTTAGATTAATTTCACATAGTTACATTACATATTTTTTACTATTTTTTTTTTAAATATCGCGCATTAGTTTGAAGGTTTATCATATTTGGGTGTGACTACGTTTTAATTAAACATTCTTTTCAAAACTAGAATCAAATTTTAATGCTAATAAACAATTGTCTTCTAGAAAACATAGTTCTAACATTGAATCGCTCTCAGATTTAGTGTCATTGATCGTCAAAACGATCCTCGTCACGTAATAAAGTTTAGAAATTCACTTGCTCATTCTATTTTATTATTCCAACTATAACTAGTATATATAAACTGGTCCTTGCAAGGTCACATAATCTCATTTACATATACCATCCGAACGGATAAAAACGAGCACCGAATTGTCTTTTATATATATTTTTTTCAAGCCTTTTTTTTCTTTACATCCATATTTAAAACTACTTTATAAGATAAGAATTAGTTGACAAAACTAAGTTAGAAAGTAATAACATGATAATGTCAAAAAAACTTAAATTTACATTTAAAAAAATCATCCTGTATCTCGGAGCATACAAAATTCTTGTCTAAATATCTAATCGCTTTTATCAAACGACTACATTATTCCACTGCATCATATAAGTATATAGTATTACACATAATAAATACATAAGGAAAATTTCGTCACTGCCAAATAAGTATTTTTTTTTAATTTAGTGATGACATTTAATCATTGTGACATTGCAAAGAGTTTACATAGAAACTAAAGTGTTGCTTCTTTATCATGAAAAAAAAATAACGAAAAATAGTGAATATATTTATTACAGAGAGAAATTAAAATAAAATAGTTAAGCTTAGGGGTAACGAATAGTAAAAAAAATATAGGTATTTTTGAAAGGTAATTAACCATTATTCGCAAACAAAGCTCAAAGTAAAAAAAACTAAATTTCCTAACATCAATTAACTATAATAAGATCTTAATTATTTCTGGTTGAAAGTTCGAGACTTTAACGTAACTGATTGAAAGGTTGTGTAAACGAAAAACTTTGAAAAGTTTCTATAAGTTTACCTTGATTTCGAGAACTTGCGAAAATTAAGAAATGAAGGTTAAGAAATTAGGAATAAATTGCTTAATGTTGGTATTATTTTTAAAACTTTAGAAAAATTAGAAGCAAACTTGAACTATTACGTGCAATATTTTGGGTAGTTTGATAACGTATTCGCGTACTTACAGTTTAAATTAAAAAAAAACTTCAAACCAGCCGCCGTCTTATTAAGGCGCTAGGCGAAACATGGATATTAAGAAGTTTCTCGTAACTTAACGTAAGTCGATCATGTTTAATTAAAAATAGGAAGTAAGATTTTAATAAGACAAACAATAATAATACATCATGACATTCGATGGATGAAAACAATAAAATACACATCGGACTCATGAATAATAAACATATAAAAATTAAAAAAAAAACACACAAGATTTATACATTTAAGTTACCTATTATAACAACAAAAAATATAGCCCTGAACATTAATGGCGACGATAAAAATTAAAAATTTCAAAGGTTTGTTTAAAGTTAAAAAATCACAATTAATTATATATAAAAAGTGTTAAAGGGAACTCAATAATAAATTGTAAATTATATTTTTGTTTAAAATAAAAAAAAAGTTAGTAAAATATTAATAAAATGAATGTTGTTTTAAATTGGAATATTAATTTCTTTAACTAAATAAAAAACAAAAGACAAAAATAAAGACTGGCAATTGGAAAAAAAAAGAAATCGAATCTTTGTTCCAAATTTAAAATAACGTTCGAATTAGTAGAGGCGCGGGTTTTCGGCGGGCGAGGATCGCATCTGGTCAAACATTTGCGCATGCGTACCAACGCGCTCAATGCCAAACTCCTGCATCTGACTTGATAAATAGCCACACTTGACGACAATAGACAGAGGATGTTGAATTTAAACATGATATCAATCTAGATAATCTAAATATTGTTTTATAAGAAAAAAACACAGTAACAGCATAACCAACGTTAAATGAACGCACAAGGCAATGAAGTGACTATTCTAATAATATATATTTCTTGTAAGTTAAAATATTTTTTTATCGAAAGTAATTAAAATTAATTTATGTATATCCAAAAAGTAGATACGGAAGCACATTCATTGTTTCACTATTATACGTAATATAATTAAATAATTGTATTTAACATAAAGTATGTTCCACGCCTATTAAATTTTAATAGAATATTTAAAATACAATAAAATAATTCTTTTATCAATATAAGCATTTCAAAAGCAAGCCATAAATTATTGAAAAATAAATAATTAATTTCTATAAATACTTATTTAAACACAGTTGCCAACTAAAACTAATTATAATTGAATAAACAGTAAAACGGGTTAAATAATTTATCTCAACATTACAATATTTTAGTAAGTCAAAACAATAAACACGGAAACACTTTAAAAGTGCGTCTAATTACCTAAGGACGTTACACAGACACAGTTAGTGTGGCTTAGTATGGAAGCCTACATACATCCATATGTACTTACGTGGTGGAATCAATCAAGCCGATCCATCGGCGCAGGGCTGGTTCCCGGGACTCGTTCGCGAAGCTGGCTCGCGTAGTTGGCTTCGGAGCTAATCCGCGGGACTGAATCTAGGGGCGTAGGGCTCGCGGGGCGCAGGGCTCGCGCCGGTTACGTGGCCCGGGAACAGCGCCGGACGCGCGGTATCGAGGAAGTAAGTCCCGAACAACTGTCAAAGGCGAGCGGAAATCGGGCGGCGACGCGGCGGGCTCCGGGCGCACGCGCGCGCCGCCCGTCAACAGCCCTGCAGCCCGAAACACCCCCACCCGCACCCCCTAGCCCCAACCCCCGCCTACCCTTTAAATCGAACGTCATATCGCGCCTACTGCCCCCCTTGCCCTGTAATTTCTGAAAAGCGCTGACTACCCCCTCGCGCCGCCGACAGACCCTAAAAAATGCATTGCGTAACGGTTCTCACGAATTCCGCCTGGCGCTGGCGCCTAGTTTACTGTTTGCCCGATCAATTAAT